ATGAGCAACACGCCGCCCGCAAGGTCCTGGTGTGCGACCTGGGGGGTTTTGCCAGCTGAATTTTTTTTTTATTATCATCCGGAGTAGAGCGCACGTGCGCTCAAGGATTCCGTTGCCCACTACAGGAGAAACGGAAGCAAGAAATAAAACATAAAAGTTCTATTTCCGCTACAGCTGCGAATATCTCCTCACTCTTTTCTTGGTCAGTGTATCACTGCTCTCTGAGAAAGCGGTTTGCTTGGTATTTTGCTCAGGAAAAAGGGGAGAAATTAGTTATTTGCATATCATTAGCATTTACCTGGTTTGCTAAGCCAGGCTTATAATTATTTTGGTACTCAGCAGGCCTAAAGCCTGTAATTCAGTAATAATAATGAATACATGCGACCCGCCGGGAGCCTAAAAGGTTTACTTGCGGCCCGCAGTCAAAAAAGGTTGCTCATCACTGATTTAATGCCTTCCAAACTGTACCAGACTAGATCTAAATTTTTACTTCTCAAAATCCAGATTGAGACATTCAGAAGTTCCAATCGACAGGACAAGAGAACTTCTGTTGCTAATACATAATTTTTTTACATAGTGACTTTAATCCGAGTCAATCGACGGACCGACTCAAGGTGTGACATTTCATACTTTCTCTCTGTTATTGTATGAACCAGATCCACCTATGCCCCCACCTGCCTATCCCTCGAGACCTGTAGCAGACGAAGAAGCCAAAAGAGGCAACAGGTGTTTTTCATTCAGCTTAGCTATCCAGCTTGCCCTATTGCACTGGAGGCAATTTACGTTATGACGATAAGAAAAGCTCGTTCGGACCGTCTAGGGCAGCGGTTCTCAATCTGTGGTCCGCGGACCATCGAGTACACGGGAACTTCCATGGGAGTAAAAGGGAATTTGAGAACCACTGGTCTAGGGCAAATCCGGTTCTTGCCAGTAAAACTAGTTTGGAATGGCAATCTTACAATCCTAAAAACTTTTCCCATCCAATTCATACGTTCGAGTTTCATTTAAGCCATGCACCAATGCTCATTTTCGTCGAACACCGGCGACTCAATTTTCAAATGAACATGCTTAATTCTTGTTCGTTTATTCTCCCGCCTGAGTTGCTGAGATATGGGGCGAGACTGCTTTTCTCAACCTTCACGCATGTCCGTAACGACGAGTTTCGGACGGACGTTACTCGTTTCTTCGAGTCGATCCACATTTTGGGGAATTTCCAACCTATCAGATTCCCTATCGAAGGAAGCAATGATGCCCCGTCTGCAGGGGAACTAAGTCGCCGAATACGTGGAAGGCGATGGACCAAAAAGACATTGCGTTCACGAGTGGCTTCAACTTCATGACGCTGCACAGTGATGCAGATGTAATTTTTTCCGCCAAAATTCATTCTTCCACGGGATCTGGCAAGAAGTATTCGGAATGTAATGGAAATTATGAAATATCGAAGAAAATGTGCGCCTGGAACTAATTATCGGAGTCCTTGAAATGTTGGCAATAAAATTGACAATGCTATTTGCAAAACAACTGACGTTTTGCAGTCACATTTCTAAGACAAAATTGATCTAACTAACAAAGCATACTCTCAAATGGAATATAACCAAGAAATAACTTAGGAGCTAAAAAAAATTTTTCCTTCAGATTACAAGGGTCACATTTAATCTGACATCCCATCTTCTGACAGGATCTTCATTCTCACTCTCAGAACTTTCATTATTCGAAATTTCTTCATATTGTGGAATTAACAAACTTTTCATGCCTTCTCTAGTTCTTTCTGCTTTCTTTCCCTCTTTCGAGAAAGGCTTGCAATCTTTGGATCTGAAGAGTACAAGAGCCTGTTCATGAGGTCTCTGTTGGTGTCCGTGCGACTGATTTTTCTAGCAAAATCTCTCCTGTATGATTTAAAGTGCTATTGTTGCGAGACTCCTGTGCCCCTTCAGACATGCTTCCAATTGGCAGCAGCATGCTTTTAATGACACCTCCTCCATGAATCAAAACTTTGTGGACCGATGGAAGCATGTAATACCACACTCTTAACTATGTTACTCTGAAAATGGAGTAACAAAATCTTATAATTTTTTACTCTTGAATAGGAGTGACCTACGGAGTAACATAGTGGAAAATTGCATATAAAATGCTAGAAACTTGAAATGACATTTTTTAAATATGTCCTGGCTTGTTCATTAAAATGAATATTATGTCCTGAACTTCATCAACATTTCCGAGAATTGCTACATCAAGAGTAACATCAACATCACTATCCAGTTCATTGGAAATTTGCCCCCAGAGATGTTGATGAGTTCAGAAGGTTGCTTTCCTTTTACATGAACACACCAGTGCATAAAAAAAATTCATTCCAAGTTTTTAACCTTTTATTTGGGATTTTCCACCATGTTTCTCCGTAGGTTACTCCTATTCAAGAGTAACAAATTACAAGATTTTGTTACCCCATTTTCAGAGTAACAAGTTAAGAGTGCAGGGATTATGGTCAATGCATGCACGTACAGTTTCAAGAGCAAAAGCCTGAAATTGTGGTATGTCTATCATATTTCCTGATAATATTACTGCTAATAATGTGTGGAATCTCTCCAGCAAGACCAGGGGAACTCCCGATTTTTCTGTGGAAATCTTCGACTGCGGAAAGAATCTTCTTGCAGTATTGCCATCATTACTATTTCCACAGCCACCCGAACGTGGTGCATCCACGGTCAGTCCTAAGCGCTCTATGAATTCAGCTTGGATACGCTATTTCTCCTCAGCCAACATCAGCTTTTCGCCTGCCACTTTTGGAACTTCAGTCTGTAAGCCAAATGAAGGAAATATTCCATGAAACGTATTTATGCATGGAGACTTGAAAGTCCGAAGTTCAAAGAGCTTTTATTGGTTGGGCTCCATAATGCAAGTCATTCATATGTCGAGATGTGGCTCCACATATGTAGCATCTCATGTTGGATCTGGTTTCTGTGAGAACATTAATGACCTTGCCATCGACCGTGCATAAAAGCAGTGTATGCTGGCAATGAAACACAAGTTCAGATGGCGGTTGCACGACAGAAGGCTCCAATGCAACGATTTGATCAGAAAAAAAGCTATTCTGCTTGTGTAGCCTCTTTACTCTCTTTGAGGAATTGGAAGCGAATTGACCTACAGAATCTTGTAGAAGAGGGTACAGAATTTACCCAAACAATTTCTTTGCTCTCTTGGATTTCTATTCTGAGAGGTACAAGTGTACTTATGAACAAGCTTTCTTCATCCGAATTGTTAGTGCTCTTTTCTTTGAAAGGTTGCTTGTAGACACACTGTTCCGTTGTACCATCAAAACCCCACTTATCATAAATAATTTGGTGCTCTGGCCTGGTACATGAAAATCATCAGCCTCTGACAATCTTCGAAAAGTATGGTCTAGGACAGGGGTGTCAAACATACGGCCCGCGGATGTGTTTCATCCGGCCCGCGGTCTGTTCTTGAAATGTTCACCTGTATTAACTCTCAGCACTCTCCGCGCACGAGCCTAACCTCGAAGAAGAGTTGAAGGCGCTCGCATTCCCCCTCCGTATTGTCAATATACGATGGCGTCCCCTGGTTGATCCTGGTCAGGTCAGTCAGTATTAAAATAGTTCGAATAGAGAGGAATATCTCACGGGAATGTCCGGGAAGGCCACACAAATGGAGAAGCCTCCACTATTTAAAGGGAGGAACCAGGCAAGGCTGGTCATTGAAGGTATTCCTCCGGGCCAAGGTCAGGAGGGCTGGCTATAGTAGTTTGACAGTTCTCCCCATTAGAGGTCATAAAATGTCAGCTAGCTTACAGCCCCCTCCCCTAATCTCCAGCGAAGAAAAACAGGGTCACCACAGGCAGGTTTTATTCACAAGGACAGCAGGAATGCTTAATATAAAACTATGCCATTTCACTCATCTTCTGATGACTATGAAGAAGATCCACCGTGAAGTAGAATAACGAGTCTGTTTGTCTCCCTGTCGGCATACTTGTCAAACTTTGGGTACTGTTTTTCATGTGGCATCCGTGTCAGAAAGTCATATGTAGGTAGATTTAAACTTCTTTGACGATAGAAGTTAATCCGCCGACAAAGGCCGGGTAGACCCTAAACGGCTCATTTCTCATTTCTTTTCTTCTCCTTCCACTGCCCATATTCCCAACCATTCGTATGTGCCCCATGGAGAGGACGAAGGGAGTGGGAGGGGTCAAGAAGGCTCAAAAGTATATGACATGAGCAAGTGTAGCCAGTCTCACTTCTCTTATATTCATGTTACTGTAAGGCAGATGTCATTCTGTGAAGAGGAAAGTGGACAAGGAGTGCCGTGTGTTTCAAGAGAAAAGGAGGCTCTTATCCTCCTCCAGCCCCGATAAAAGGATCTTTTACATGGTTCTATGGGGTGTTAAGGAGGTAACATTCAATTTTAGTAGGTTAGCAAGATATTTAGAGATCTGATTGGAGGGTGATATGGGCCTAGGGTTTTATTCGTCCTCAAAATCCAAGGGGTGTGTGAGAACATAGAAGGGGAAGGCAGAAAAGTAAATCCGCATTCAAGGGCGATAAAGGCAGCTGTCCGACGGGCTGATCACCATCAATAACATCCTGCCAATATGAAAAACAATTTACCAAAAGAAAAGCCTTTTTGGGGAGGCAAAACCAGTCACACTGAAGAACCAGGTGAATTTTCAAGGAGACATTCGGCGGTAGAAAATAGGAATGAGGCTGGTTCTTGAGCCTTATCTGGTCCGTTGCCATGGAGGAGCGCACTTTTTATTTGTACAGCACCGACCCAGGATGCATGAGAATTACGAAATGGAGGATTTCTTGCTCTCGAGTCGGTGTGAAACTCTACGCTTCCACTCTTCCTGTAGGACTGTGTTCAATGGTCGACCTAGCGAGCAATATTTATTGCATTAGGCACAATGCTGTGTTTCAATGCTAAATACCAACTTCGTTAAGTTATTTTGCTGACGAAACTCGATCCCAGAAATAAAAATGCTGGAGCACGGACAGGATTTTTAAAATTTTATTACATTCCCATCCTTTCACATCCTATACATAAAAAAGATGTGACTCGCTGCATGGGATACTCGTTAGAGAATGATACAATTATGTTTTCCTGTCCTTGGTTCTGATTTCTCTGGTTGTGCTACTGGTCTGTCTGATGGTGCTTCTGGCATTTCAGCTGATGGCACGTCAGATTCCTTCTCCTGCTTCTGCTCCTTCTTTGCAAAAGACAAAAGAAATCCATTGCTTTCCAACTTGGTTCATAACCATAAAAATGACTGCAAGAAGAGTGGCAATCCCAGTCAACTTGGCCTTGGGCTTATGGAAGCAGAAGTAAATGGGTGGAATTTAATTCCTCAGAAAAACTCTTGAATGAGTAATCGACATCAATTCCATGAGGGAAATGGGAAAATAACTGATTGCTCACCACTTCCTGCCCTTGTCCTTCCTCGGGTATGGTTTTTGAATGCCGGTTTTCGTGTCGTCGTTTGCCCCAACCACTCAATGTCCTCCTCAAGGACCTCCAAAGCCCTCCTCGGTGCAATCCTGCATCATGCTAATGTTTAAAAGATAAAAAGATTTCAATTTATGTTCGCAATATCGTCCACCGAGGTAGAGAAAGCTATTGAAATCAGTTGTCTTAAAGAAAGGCAATTAGACGAGGGAAATCGAGAAAAGATCTTTCTATAAGTAATGGAGTAAGCGCATGGAAAATGAAGTGATCTCGCCAAAAGGGAAAACGTAAACACCGTTCACCTTTGGCAATTGCAATATAAAGGGTTTCTGTTTACATCTCAATTCCACCAATTGAATTTCGCTGTCAACACTAATCGGTGCTCACCTAGCACCGACGAATCAGGCAGTATTTACCATTCATCTATTGATAATAATTTTTGCATTTAATGACACGTAATCAATTGCACCTTCCCCTGAGTAAGCGGTGACGATATAGGAGAGCCAATTTATGTAGTAAAACAGAAATAGAAAAATAAATTTTTTCAAGTAGAGCCGATTTTGTTCGTGTTGCATATCAGAGACTTCAAAGATGGGGAAATAAATATTGGATTTAGGCTGAATTCATCAGTGTACGTCATATCGCACTGACCTGCATGCCCTCTTGGGCAGGAGTATCCGGGGCATCAGAGTACTCGCCATCGAGTATTGAGCTGTCTTGTGGTTGGGTAACCTTATTTTGCTGATTTTTTCGACCGGACCCGATCGGCAAACTTCTCCAGAAGCGGTGAAGTCTGCTGAACTCGGCGGGGGATCCCTGATTCGGCTTTGAATTATCTAGCACTTTTTCTTGATCCTTCTCCTCCGGCTTCTGAAAATGCATTTTTTTAAATAGGAATACTAGAACAAAGTATGAAAGAGAGGTCATCTCAGCTACATAATGACTATACTCAGGCTCAATTACTGCAACAGCGATGATAATTAGTGCAAGTTTTTGGTATATGTCACTTATAACTTCTATTTCAATTTTAGTCGAAGCCATTTGGGCATACAGATATAAGACTCGACTACCCCAACAGAAAGCAGAAGTTAGTCCTCCTGGTAGCTTCCTCGTTTCCTTCTCGCGCTTTCATCTCGGCCCAATATGTCGATCGAATATTCTAAGAAATTTGAAAAACGAACTGACTAAAGTTTCTGGTGCTTCGATAGATGGAGCAGTTTTGGGTATAAAAGGCCAGAATTGGGGAAAAGTGGAAACATTCGTTCCAAAAATGTTTACGCAAAGGGTTCTCTTACTCTTTGAAAGTATTGATCGTATTGATCCTCGACATTGGAATACAATTCTTATTGAATTTGCGATCCCTTACGTCACACATATGAGCTTGACGAACTGGGACTCGTGGATCCGATTCGTTCTTATCACGGTTACGAAAATTCCCCACATTCACCAATGCAAGAGAAGTCCTTTACCTGGGAATTGGTGGGGTCCTCGACCTTGACAGCCTTGAGGAGCTTGAGCCGATCTTGATGACCTGGTTTCCGTTCCTGAACCTCGGTGTTAATCATGAGGGAGATGTAATCCATGGACGTCATCTGGTGGGAATTGAGAGACTTCCCCTGCAGCTGCGCGTGGTGGTGGTCCACGTCGGTCATCACTTTGCGGATCTCTTCCTTAAGCTTCTTCAGCTTTTCGTCTAGACCTGGGGGGTCCGGCTCCGAGGACTTGCAATCCTCTCGGAATTTCGCAAGCTCCTTGAAACCTGCAGGTGGCAATTTGACAGAAACCTAGGTTCTTGTGCGTGCGTACAAGCAGCAGGCTAGGCTGTAGCGCCGAAGTCTCCTCATGGTAAAGTTAAGAGAGGCCAGAACTAATCTCAGCATCAAGTTTATATAGAGCAAGAAAAGTTGCGTAAATCTCAACCGGACGAACGAACATTCGAACAAAAACACCGAGAAGACAGATGTCATTTAATGACTTCTTCGAGGATCAAAAGTGTAGCAAGGTTGGACCAGATAAGACTATACCACGGAACATTTTGAGACCGTTTCGGGTACAAATAAAATCATTAAAGTAAAATTGCTGCAGTTGATGAAAGAAGAATCACTGACTTCGATCCAATTGGAGATGGAGCTGGTGAAACTGTTCCTCCCAGGCTTGGCGTTCCTCCATGATGACCTTGGTCAACTCCAGGCTCACAGGTTTCACGCGAAACACCTCGTCCAGGAATCCCTCGTATCCCTCGACCGAGATGTTCCAATAGGTTTCAGCCAGGGGATCGGCCTTGGCTCGATCCGCGTAGAGGACGGAGTTGTTGACTTGGAAGTGCTTGACGAAGGGGATTCCCGCCTCTTTCACCGTGTCCGCGGCTGGACCCCGTTCGCAGTCGGAGAACGTGAGCAGCAGGTAGATGTTGTCGCGGACGTCCTTGCCGAACAACTGCCGGATGCAATTGAAGACGTAGTTCTCCGCCGGGCTGAGACGGGACGTCGGAGCGGGGACGACCACGGCCGCAGCGTGAAGTTCGCGGATTCCGAATTCCTTGAAAAACATTCGTACCTGGAAAAGGAACGTCATGCTGACATTCATTCCTTGACTCTCCCATATTATTCCCAGCAAAAACAGTACCGATGATTGCGAGTATGGTTGTAAGGTGATATCCTCACTGCCCGTGCGACCTTAAACCAAATTGGGTTTACTCAGTGGCGTAACTAGGGGGGGGGAGCAAGTGGGGCGGTCGCCCCAGGCGCCACAGTCCAGAGGGCGGCAAAATAGCCTTTCAAAAGAAAGTATTTCAAAGAAGCAAAATGTCGGAATTTTTTTTCATTTTGCCCATTTTGCCGCCCACTGGCAAAATGCCAATTTTGGCGATTTTGCTATTTTTTCCTGTTTGCCGCCCTCAGTCCAGAGGGCGGCAAAACTGACGCAAATAGCATTTCTGGGGTAATAAAAAAAATAATACAATTTTACTATTGATATATATCTGGTATGACGCATGCTTGTAGTTCGGTTAGTAGTGCTGGGGCTATATTCACTTCCTTTGCGAGCGAGTTATGACTGATATAAACGTCTAAACCACACCGCTAGCAACATGTGCTGAGAGACGCCAGTCACGAGTCACTTTACTCAGGCAAGTTCCAACACGAATCCTACCCCTTTTGTGAAAAAAGGCGAGGTTGAAAATCGATACATCCAGTACTCTAGTAATGGTTTATGTCACAGGCTCACAGCTTGCAGCAGGGAACACCAGTGTGACGAAATCCCAGAATATTTATAACGTTCAGCCCGTCAATCAGTGTCATTCAATCGTTCAAGAATTTGTGTTCATCAGCTAGTTTGCGTTTTGCGCCCATCAATTTGGGTGCTTTTCTATTTGCCGCCAAGGCGCCCATATAGTCAAGAATGAAGCGACAGAAAATTGGCGCCAAATTTAGAAAACTGGCAGCGAAACGAGCAAAAGCTGTGGCGAGTTCCAAAGATTTTATGGAAGCTTTTGTGGAAGCAGGGAAAGATTCTGCACCGGTTTCTGAAAATCAAGTTAATGAATCTGTTGTTCCAGAAAATTCAAACAATGAACTGGAAGTTACTAGTCATTCCAGTCACCTAGAAAATGACCCCCATTAGCCACAATTACTGGAGGATTTAAGTGATTTGACAACTACTGACAACGAGCACGATGGACTGAAACAATTCAGTCCGAATTTCCAGGAAACAGAAGTATGTCAAGAAGGCGGATTATCTGAAAATACAAGCAATGACAACAGCAAAGTAGCCAGGAAGGAAGAAATTAGCAAAGTCCCAGCTGCAGAGAAACAAGTGCTTTCTAATGTCAGTGATGAAATTGTAGATAGTGCAGCGTTACAAGACATGGGAACTTGGCCAATTCGGATTTCTGGTTCTTTTCAAGATCTTATGGTAAAGAGAGGAACTGACGAACTGCAGAATAGTGATAATACATCTCCGACAGATGAAAAAAAGTGGACGATCTATATCTGTGTTTGAAAAAACGCTGCAAAATGGTGAGAAGGTGCAGCATACCTGGATGTGCTACTCTTACAATAAATAAATAAAATACTTTTTTGCTTCTGTTGTAGTTTGTTCAATCGCAATAGTCCTTCTAGTCAGCAAAGCAGTTTTGATCTTGAAAAGGGGTTTTCAAAGTGGCTGAAACTAAACCCACGCATCCAAAATCATGAAAGCAGCCCTGCACATCGCTCAGCATTTTTAAAGTGGAAGGAGTTAGAGCGTGGATTGAAAAAGGGCGGGCTTATTGATGACCACGTTCAGTCGCAAATTGCCAAAGCTGCGCAGAAGTGGAAACAAATTATTGAACGTATTACTGCAGCAGTTCAGACGCTTGCCCAGCAGAACTTGGCTTTTCGAGGTCACTGAGTCCCTAGACAGTGATGAAAATCCTGGAAATTTTCTGCTTTGGTAAATGCTTGGCAAAATTTGATCCATTCATGAGAGAACACTTGTGTTCAGTTTCTGCAAAACCCAATTCTTTGTCATATTTGTCGCAGGCTATACAGAATGAACCGATCAACATATTGGGGGCAAAAGTGCGCCAGTCCATAATTCTGACAATCCAGAAAGCGACGTATTTCAGTATCATACGAGGGTCACTCAATAAGTTATCTACCTGAATATGAAAGAAACATCCGAGGGGAAAAATAACACTTTATTTTTCAATGTAGTCACCTTTTTGCTCATCCCTTTCATATTCAGGTAGATAACTTATTGAGTGGCCCTGGTATTTGATACAACTCCAGACAATTCGCATGTAGAACAGATGTCGCAAATTGTGAGATTTGTTGAGATTGGTCGTGGCTCTGTAAAAATCAAGGAAGCTTTTATTAACTTCATTCCAATTCATGGAAAAACAGCGGAGGCAATCAGCTGAAATAACAAAGAAACTGGAACAGGATGGATTGGATCTTCAAGAATGCAGAGGTCAATCATGTGACAATCAAGCTACAATGACTGGCGTTCATTCTGGTGTTCAAATACGGATTTTAGATCTGAATCCATTGGCTCTTTTTGTACCTTGCAACAATCACTCTCTAAATCTGATGGCGTTCATGCAGCACATGTGAATGTTCAGGCTGCTACTTTCTTTGGAACCCTAGAACGTCTATTTGTGTATTTTTCGTCTTCAACTCATCGATGGGAAGTTCTGAAAGAGTTTGTCAACATTACTGTCAAGAGCCATTCTNCAGTCGTTTGTTTGTAAGAATTGATTTTGATTATATTATTTGTGCTGAGAAGCAGTCCTGAATAACATAAATATTTAATAAATCTCATTCTCCAGTAAAACGTGTGTGCATGTGAAAATAACAATTAGCAAGGGGGGGGTGTTGGAGTATGGGGGCGGCAGTAACAGTCACTCGCACCTGGCGGCAAATTACCTAGTTACCCCACTGGGTTTACTCGCTTAACATTAGAACTACCGGAGCGATCAATTTGACCGCTGCATTAAAATCATGTTTATTTTTCAGACGTTATTTAGTATGTTAAAAATGACGATATTAGATAGGAAGATAAAAAATTGCTGAGGCCCTTAGTTGCCAAACTAACAGTAAAGTGCATTAAAAATCGGCGAACTGTCAAAATGACTTCCACAGAGAAGACCAAACTACCAAAAACTGATTCATCCCGAAGATTGCCCTTTTGCAATGAAGCTGTCTTCTTTCACACAGGGTCAATGTCTTTGAATTCCTTGCAGATAAGTAGAGATAATGGCACTCGATTGTTTTTTGTGTGCGATAAAAGGAGTTGATCTTGTCTCCCCGTCCGCTCTCTTGCGATGACATGAAAACTCGCAGTAAAACTGTTTTGAATATGAAGGTGGCAGGAAAGGCAACCTTAGGCCTAATTTCAGGATGAATACGTTCCAGATTGCAAATTTTCTATCCGATCCTATCACACTTTGGCCTGATCCTAAAAATTCCTCCCTTCTCCCATCTCAAATTTAAATGACTGACGCGACTGTTCAGATCTTAACTTTGGTCAGTTCACACGGTCCAGTGAGGCACGATGATCTGCGCCTACTATTTGTCTTAGTCATTCCGTTTTCGAATTCTAGGAGGTAAACACTACTCGAGGGCGCTCAGAAGCCACTTGAATTCATCGACCATGCTTCCGATGCGTAGTCACTCAAGATAAGAGATGACAAGAGACGCATCTGCTCTTGGATTCCACGAATAATCCCTGTGAAAAGAGGTCTGGATCCATCGAGGTTAGGTTTGACCGTTCAAAAAGAAAGAAACAGATCCACGAAGGTAGACGCGTAGAGCTTGGTAAAGCTGTCCCGTCTACCTAGAGTCTGGTGAAGCTGTCATGGAAGAACTGGAGCTGGTGTCGTTTCGAGACATGCACTAAGGCCGGCCGCACACTAGTGAAACATTTTCGTGAAGCATGCATCTTACACGCATGATATTAATACACGCTTCATTGGATGGAACACATTGCTAACGGTTGAACGCCGCACACTGGTGAAGCATAGTCCAACCCGTTAGAAGCATGTATGATACAAGCTTTTTAGGATAGCGTTTGCTCTATCTCTGTATATGCTTCAACGTCGTTTTATCAGTTGAGCTCGCAAGTTTGCCAAGGAAAGATCTATCCAAAGTCAAGAGGAAGAAGGAAGAAGTCCAGAAAAATATATAATTAGTGCAGTGTATCGTGAAATACGCAACGATCTACGATCCCACTATTCGGGACCATGCGAAAAGGGGGAACATGGTAAAAGGATAGACTGAACGAGTACTCTTGCATATTGCCAATCGAATTCACCATATGGCTTCAGGAAATATTGACACATTGCTTCACGGACTGCCACAGCAGACGTGCTAGGTCTAGAAGTAGATTTACTCATCTGGCCGATCAGATTATCCTGAAGCTGGAAGGTTTCATCATCGTGGAATTCTCAAGGTTTGTGGGTGGGTTAACGATTGTCAGGAAGAAGGAAGAATTTTGAATATTTTAGCATTCAGGGCAATGAATTTGAATCTTTACAAAAGGAACAACATGCAGTATGTCGTGGTGGCTGTGGTCTTGCATCATGTTCATTCGGTGCACATTCAAGTCCATCTTTAAACAACTTGCCCCAGCCAAATGCGAATGTCCTCCGCATCATACTGCGCAGAAAATCGTCAGTAAATTTTAACTGGTTTGATGTTCTCGTTGATCCGAAATTTCATAATCGCTTATCCTTCTTCGTTAACTCAATTGCCGCCATCTTGATTAACAGCTCATGTATTAAAGCAGGAAACACGTGATTGTGGGAATGGGTTACCAAAACTAAGTACAGGGCAACCTTGAACCGCTCTCGTACTTTTGGTTAAAACATATATGATAAACGTTTCTCCAGTGTGCGGCTGAATGTTTGAAACATGTATCTTGCACGTTTGATACATGTTTTACCTTGATACGTGCTTCACCAGTATGCGGCCGGCCTAAGGTGAACAAGGAGGTTCCGTCCCGTCCTCTTTCGTCTCTTTCGTCTCATCCATCTTTAACTATCTTCAGGGAAGGATTGAACCCGATCTTTGCACCCTTGTGGATGCAAAATTGAATGGCATCCCTCG